TGGTATTTGAGTAACGTAATATATAATAAAGGAACATTTTAATCAATGCGTCACATTTAAATTAATAATTAGTACATGTCACGTGAATATTTTTGTATAGCGAAAATCTTATCTTTATTCGTTATATACAGTTAACGAATTCCCTTGCTATAGCGAAGTGTGACCTTCGGAACACAAGATTCGTTATAGAAAGGGTGAACTGTACTTCCTTAATCTTTATATGGGTCCCATTCAGGTAATTTTCAAGGATTTCTTTCAATATAAGGCTCCATGCGGCTGATGAAAATTGTGAAAGAGCCTCAAAAAGATTCCGGATGTCCGAAGGACTCGCGTGCAATGATTGTCTGCAAATCTCTACGGATACTTTCATCAAAGAATTTTTCATATAAGAGAAAGAGTTTGCCCATCTCTTCAAATATGAAGAATGGCATCGGGAGGAAGGTGGCTTAATTAAAAGGAGATCCAAGTGAGTCATAAAAAAAATAAATGCAAAAAAGGATATAAAAAAAAAACCACCCAAAACTAATAAATAAAAAAAATAAAATTAAAGAAAATAAATATTCAATCGTGAAAAAAAAAAAATAAATAAAATCAATAATACTAACTTAACTGATACCGCGCAATCCGAAGAAAGAACTTAATGCAAGTATTTTTTGAAAAATTTGTCAGCCCGAAGCATTCGCTGTTTGAAGTAAGAGAGATCTAACCAGGTTTGAAGAATATTTTCGTAAACATAAAATTTTTTGTTAAGCAAGCAAAAAATATATACTATTTAGCAAATGTTCTATTTAATTACGACTAAGTAATTACTATTCAAACCTTGAATTCTGGTATGGATTATTTAAATTTAGAGACCAGTGAATCAGTTGAGTTAATCAGTATATAGAAATCAAATGTGAACATATAAAAATTAGATAAAATTGGGGCATTTCCATTTAACGAAAATTTCGTTCATAATGTAAAATTATCTACAACTGTTTGAATTTGGCAAGCCTTGTTCAGTTAATCGAATGAAGACAGTTCATACCATTAAAATTATTGCCTCAATCAGGTAACGTGGTGGTCTTAATTTAGAATTTGTTTTATATTGATTTAAAATTTATGTCACAGCAAACGAAATTCAATCTCTAGATATAACATTCACGTTACCAGATAGCAGAATATTAAGATTGAATATCTTTATTATGCTTCGATACAGCTAATATGGACAATATGAGTATTCATATTTGTAGTTACAAAAAAAGAATTAATTTCTTGCCACGCCAGTAAAATATAAAAAATAATATAATGATAAGTAATTGTTATCGGTCATGTTGTGGATGATACTAGGATTACTACTTTATCATGTGACCTATGGCCACATTATATAATAGCATTATTCAAACATGATTTCACTTTTTTCAAAAACTTTATAAAGAATTATGAACTTTACAAAACCTCTCAACTTCCAACACATGAGGAAATCAATGAATTAAAACAAAATATCGCTAGTTTCAAATACTGAAATAAATACTGCAAAGTGGCCGAGTTGTTGAACAATTTAATAAAAGTTGTTGTATATAAAGATTCGCCTATATCTACTATAGCTCAAACTCAAACTCAAGCTTCTGCAACACAAAATATCCAATATTTAAGACAAGTTAATATATCAGGAAATGTAAAGACTTCAGTAACGGTACCTTTAAACCACCTTGTCACTCTAATCCCTAATGATTTCTTATTGCAAAAATCGAAAGCATTTATCTGGTACTAATAACCGAAATCCTTTAACTTGCATTAATAACAATATTAAAATTAAACTTCGGTGACAAATCAGGTAACTCATTCTTTTAGAACTTCCTTGAGATAATTCGGAACTCAACTAAATAGATCTTTTCTTTATAAAGTAATATATTGCAGTGAAATTTTTAATGGCAGTTAACTCCAAGAAGTATTCAAAAAATAAGGAGCAACTCGTTCATGAGCGTTGTTGTACAATGCTGTCAGCTGTAATTAAATCAAAGTACTTTACGTCAAACCAAAACCGCACATTATCCCCTCGTTACCTGGTCTAACTGGAAAAAAAATGATCAAAACAGAAAAAAAGATAAAATTCAAATTACGAAAATAAACAAATATACTGTCCTTGTCTCTCCTTACTGTTGGCGTGAATAATAAACGTCAATAAGCTCATCACCAAAACATTTTTTTTTAGCTTTTTCATGTTGTGAGAAAAAAAAGAAGCTAAATATCTTTTGGAACGCATATTATAATGGGCAAGTTCATAAGCACTTCCAACTGTTATATAGTAAAATACCGTAAAAAAAACGACGTTTTAGTAGAACACGGACATTCTTTATTATTTTTTTTTTTTTTGAAAATACACGTCGAAATCGTTAAAAATACATATTATCGTTCCTAAGAATGAAGTATTCATGATATATTAATACGTTCAAATTTAATAAGCTGTTGAGATGTGATACAGATGACAAATAATTTACCACGATCACGTGATTAACTTCGCTTTATACATCCCCAAATATATTTTTTCGCGAAATTTGGATCGTACCTTACCGGTTTTCTATCTACCCTAGCATGAGTATATGGACAGTGCTTTAAAATACAGGAAATTTTTTTCATAACTTACCCGATTCAGCGCTGCTTCCCAATACCGCATAAATCAATAAAAAGGCGCAGAAGAGGGTTTATTTTATTATTTTTTAAATTTATTTGTTTTTATTATAATTATTTTTTTTTTTATAAACGAAAGAACAAATAAGGCATAATTAATAGCGAAAGTTCTATTTCACATTGATTTAGATTAAGTAAGTTCGCACCGTGCAATCCGACTAATAAAAATATTCTTTTATTTTTCAAGATTTATCAAGATAATTTTGAAAATTCGACGATTTCTATGGTTGAGATGGCCACATAAGTTTTTATTTTTAATTTTATTTTATCAGTAAATTTTTTTTGTTTGATAATTTATCTTATTGTTTTGACCAGAATAATGATTATACTACATAGATTTTTTATTTAAATGATGCGGGTCATGTGCGATCAAGGATTAAATTTAAAAAATTTTTTATTTAATGAAAATTAAATTTGAATTTGTATATTTTATTTTTTTGATGCTATTCTTTTATTATTTTATAATTTTTTTGCATGTGCGCAAGCAAATATAACCAAAGCTAAAAATAAAAGCAGCATCAAATCCTCTTGCAAATCTGTTCAACCTGTCAAATGGGGACCAAATGGGTTTAGGTTGATATTTTTGGATCTTGTTCTTTCTCGTGATGAGAAAATCTGTGATACTCAAACTAGTATCTCCATAGGTGTTCATAAATTGACGGGTACTTTGTTTTTTTTGAATGTTTTAATGGAAACTTATCGTGAGTTGCTTCTAAGATAAATTATTGGATTTAGGAATCGGAAACGAGGCATGGAAGTAAAGCAGTGACCACATATAGTACAACATGATCTCGAGCTGCACCTCATAACATAATTATTGAAAAATTCTCCTACTGGCCTATCGTACCCATCATTTTTTTCTTTTTTCAACTCCTCGAGCAGTTTTTCCTATCAAGCTTATTTAACGGATCATTTTTAAATTTAAAGATGTCTTTATCTGTAGAAATATCTATAGACATGTCCAACATGTCCATGTTGCTAATGTTGGAGTTAAAGAACTTATTCAATAAGTTATATACAAATATACTTAGGAGAGTCGTTCGACAAGAAATGATCGAAAAAGACTATGTCGGTCAAGATGTTTTGATCGAAAAATTTGACTGCAACAGCATTGTATTTTCGGGATAAGATAATTGTTAAACCGGTTTGAAAATTATCCTCGCCGGATATACCTAAGATTTGCTACGCTAACGTTTGTTAAATTAAAATTTATTGGCGAGGATAAATTGGATAAATTTAATGGCTTATAATCATTTCGGGATAAGAAAATCAACTTCTTGTAAATTAATGAGTGAATCACAGTATAGAGTTTATATCTATTATCCGTTAAAAACGGATATCAAACAGTTATTTGAATATCCGGATATGGATCGTATATCAACTGATAAATATGACATGATGTTTGTTCAACACGTTTTACCGTTCTAACTAAAAACAAAAAAAATAAACAATTATACTTGTAAATATTTAAAATTAAATAAAGCATTTCGAAATCTATAATTCCGTTTGTATTTGACCATTGAAAGGATCTATCTTTGGCATTTTACTTGATAATTTTTGTTTAGTTTTCGTTGTATGATTTTTTTAATATTTCCTCATATTATTATGAGTGGCCACATATCAAGAGAACTACAAATCAACAAATAAAAAGTGTTCTAAAATAAAAAATTACAGAAAGAACAAGAAAATAAACAACAAAAAAAGCAAACAAAACAAGAAACACAGAAATATAAACAGAACACGTGTCACAAGATCTACTGCAAGATTCACTACAAGATTCAACTTAGAACTAGTAAGTAGACTATTGAAATTTTCTAATGATATTAATAATTAACAAAGTCTTATTTGGAATTATCTGGAAAAGTTACCACCAACAGAAAAGTATAAGAAACGTATCAAGTGTCTTGTCAAAAATTCTGGTCAACCTTGCGAACATACAGTATAATGGGATCTGATGGTAGTACTGGAAATTTTATTTTTCATTTAGTGAAGCATTGTATTACACGCGATGGTGATCTATCACAGAATAATGAAAATGTTAAAGAAACTCAAAATATTTCTGCCAAATAAAATCGATTAGATAGGAAGTTTGTTGGAATTATTATAAAAGATGATCAACCAATAAGCATTAGAAATGAATGAAGGGTTTCACAAATTTGTAAAAGAATTAGATCCACTTTATGAATTACCAAGCGATAAAAAAATGAGAGAACTGCTAGTTAAGAGTTACAATTTTTGTAAAAAAAATTATTCATCTATTTGAACAATGTGTTATATCATGCTCTTTAACCTTAGACCTTTGAACATCAAGGAGTAGAGCTGGTTACTTAAGTGTAACTTGTTCATTTACAAATACAAAATTTAAACTTTGTGAAGCTACAAATGAGCATTTAGGATATTCTGAAAGACCAATTCAGACACATTTCAGATTTTCCTAAATGACCACTAATGATTTGAGTTTATTAAATGACAGACTTGTAATTTATATTTAATATTTTTATTTTTAAAACTTTATTATTGTAAATAAAAATGTAAATAAACTTTATATTAGCATTTGATATCCAAAATGTGCATTTGAGATAAATGCACATTTAGAACAAATGAATATCCCAAATGACTTTTGTTATTTTGGATATTCCAATTGTGCATTTTGATTTAAGATATCTCAAGTGCGCATTTTAGATATTAACGCATTTAGGTACAACATCTGAAATTGTAATTTCAAATTCAGTTAACTGATCTTGGAATCTCAATTTCAGATACTTGAAGATCGTCTGAAATTCTAACTTCAATAAAAATCAATTTCAGTCAGTCACAACAAATTCATTAATAAAAGTTATTTGAAAATAATAATTTTTCTATCTGAAACTTGGTCTGAACAATTCTAAATATAATAGATTTTACAAATTTTCTTAAAAAAATGGTGATGTAAATAAACTTATTATCCATAACGTGACTTTTAATAATTAAAAATTTGAAAATGACATCAACTTTGTCATCATACAAATATATAATTCTGATTCCAATTAAATTATTCAATATAAAATATTTAAAATATTGTTAGTGTCAGTAAAGAAAAAAAATAATAATTGCTTCAGAACGTCACTTTTAGTTTTTTGTTAAGTTAGGCTTGAAGTAGCTTTTTATGCACAAAATTAGAAAAACTATCACATACATTGAAGCTGTGATCTGTGACTACACTAAAAATAAGTCATGTGATCTAAATAATTAACATATTTGATGAAGTTGACAAAGTTGCTAAAGTTGTTAATGTTGATCAAGTGAACATATTAGATAAATAAATTATATTTATTATATTTATTAATTATATCTTATTTATTATATATATTATATTTGTCACAGTTATATTATTTATTCCTTTGTTATATTTGTTATAGTTGATTTTATATTATTTATTTTATATAAATATCTTATATTTTCCCTTGAGTTGAAAAATAACTCAAGTTGAAGTTTTAGGATAAACTAAGAGTTTAATAAAGGAATCATTAAATTTATTTACTATTGATTTTTGTTATGTCTTTATTAGGCATGATTGTGATATTGTCTTGTAATTAATTTGACAGATTGAATTAAGAGTTTATTGTTTAAGTTTACAGATACCAAGATAACTAAAGTGGTGATTCCTGCCAGAACTTCTACTTTTAGTGAATGAATTTTAATTTCTATCTTACATTACAATAAAATCATATTTAACAACACTCCGAAAATAAAAATTACTTATCAACTGACTACACTTGTATAATTTGCTATCTACCTTCAGAAGAAGTATCTTTACTGTTCAAACATTTTTGGAATTGGATTAGCACTGAATTTGATGCTCTTGTGTATACTGAAAAAATAGTAACTTTGTTTGATCAGTATCAAAAACATTTTAGTGAATTACAGCTCATTAAAACTCTTAAAAGAGAAGTTAAATTATTATTATATAGTTTAACCTTCGTTAACTCTTTTGATTTCAGATTTAATTTTAACTTTATTGCTATTCATATATTAGAAGCATCTTATTATTCAGTCAACTTTAAACATCCTATAATAACTGAATTACAACTTTTAGTACTTCTCTCATTAGAACCCTCAAAAAGAAATATAATAGACGCAAACCAATTTAATGCCTTTGTTATCCAGATCACAAATTCTATCAATCAACTCACTCAGAAAGTCTAAAACAGACCTCTACATTAACCACTGAAGAGAGAAACTAATTTAGTCCCAATAAAATGCTTCTCAGAAAAAAGTGAAGAGGAACTATCTGATTAGATTGCCCATTTTGAAAAAACTGCGAAAGTTAACAACTAGAATAATGAATAAATGATTGAAATTGCTAGAGGATTTCTTGATAATATAGCTACTGATTAGTATAAGGATACTACATTTGCTTAAGGTTGGAGAGTTGCAGCTGATGAAAATGATGCTAAGACCTTTGTATTTAAATTTGTAAACCATTTTTTTACAATTGAATAACAAAATAAATGGCATTATAAACTCAATAATATTCTTCAAGAAAGGGATAAAAAGGTAAAATCATACTCTAATAGATTTAAGAGATTAAGGAAAAAGGTAGACTCTGATAATGATCTACTAGAACAGCATATTATTAGATTATTTCTAAAAGGATTAAAAAAGGATTTAATGTGATATGTTGCTACTAGTAAACCTACAGATATTAATGAAGCAATTCAAGAAGCTATCAATTATAAAGCTGAAGTTTATTTTGAAAGACAAGCTGAAAGATAAGAACGTCAAGTAGATTGAAATGTTAGAGCTTCCACTAATAATGCTTTTGAAGCTTTAAAGAAATAAATGGAAAAGCTAACTCTTAACTATACTAATATTGTTACAATCTTGAATGTTAAACTCAAATAAAACCTAAAGTCACAGAACAAAAACCAGATATATCCCAAATCACTTATTTTAATTGTCAAAAGAAAGGTCACTACTCTAGAGAATGTGACTTGTTTCCTAAAAAAAGAAAGGATGCAAATATGGTCAAAGTTTATTCTAACCTTAATTCAGAAGATAAGAAGAAAATTATAAAGAGGTTTATATTACTTTAAGAGTAAGGGTCACTCTATATACTACTAATAGAAGAGATGTCAAAGAGAAAAATAAAAGGATATCTGAATCTCAACAAAAAATGAGATTAAGAAATAAAAATATAAGTAAACCAATTTTTCTTACCACTTTGATAGATATTGAAGAAGGAATTTCAACTTTAATGGTTAAGAAACTCTGAAGAAAAATACCACGCACCCTCTTTACTGTTGACCAATTAGCTTTTTATAATATTGCTAAGGATATTCTAAACTTACCTTCATCTGCGAAACTTGGATAATGGTTAAAATATCTAGATCAAAGAAGAAACTTAGCTAATGCCTTAAAAGAACTAACATTAAAGAAACTAATAATGTTGACCTTGATGACAAATATATAAGTGATAATAATGATAGTTCTACAACTGCGATCAGATGTACTATTCAAATCTATCATAGCAATATGCAAGCTATTCTTGACTCTAGTGTAGCTATCAGTATCATTACAAGTAATTTAGTCAAATGACTTAAATTAAAGATTGATAAACCATTAAAAATAATCATCAATACTGCCAATGAAAAAAGAGCTAGAGCTTTAGGAAAGATCAATACCATCAAGATAACCATTAGATTTATTCATATGCTGATAACTTTATAAGTTATTGAATCTTTTGACGAAAATTTATTATTAGGAACTGATTAGTTTAAAAGAACTAAAGCCATTCTTAACTTTGATGAAAGAAAAGTAAAACTCAGATATCTTACGAAATCTGCCTCTATTTCAATCACTTTTTATGACAGTTCTTCTGTTAAATTAGATGAAGAATCTGATATATCTATAAATGAACTAATTGATGTAAATGAAGATTTAACTTACAATAACTAATATGAAAATGAAGATCTTGATAAATGAGATATCTTATTTTTTAATAGTGAAGAAGACCTCTCTGATGAAGAAAATTTATTTGATTTTGACGAAAATGAGTTATTTGCCAACATTTGGGATGACAATCCAGCAGTATTCTTAGCTACAACTGAAAAGCCAAAGCCTCAAAATAATGAATGGAATATCCAAGA